CCACAAAGTTGCAGCTGTTGAAAAAATTTAAAGCATCTCCTAAATCAGTTTCCCGAAGCCCTTGGCATTATCCTTTAACTCGTATTTGGGGCTTTTAATAGGAAACCTATCGAGAGTCGTAGTGGTTCTGATGAAGATTTGTATACATGACCTTAAGAACTTGGAGGTGCAACACACAGTGCATTGAAGGCGGCAGGAGGCTTTCCACAGGCTTTGGTGCGTTTTGGCTCAGGCTTTTAAAGAATAACAGGAAACGCTGGAAAACGCACCAGGGATAAACAGAGCGGTTTAGTTACATTAACTGTCTAGAGGAGAAGCTCTGCTAATGACAGAAACAAACAGAGCAAGTGCATTTATTTCACATTGCTGTGGGAAAACAAGAAATTGTTAATTGCATTTAGCTAAAAAGAGTTACACAAGAAATTGGCTGGCTCAGGCTCAGAGTGTAACTCTGGTGTCCTGACCCAGACCTGATTGCTGCGTAGACTCTCTCAGAGAGTAGTGTCCTGGAAAGGAGCACAGACTTCACAGAGGCCAGGGCTTTGAGACACTGCGTGCTCTTTTTTTTTATTCACAGCAATGCTACTTTCAAGTCTTGTTCTACAAAAAAACAGCATCAAAGAGGTCCGTTGTCACTGCCTCCCTATGACTCCTGATAAAATTTGCCTTGCTGTGATTTTGTTAACAGTCAGAACTCAAACTGGTCAGTCAGCTTGTTTCTGGACTCACATATGATGAGCAACAATAAATATGCTGCAGGACTCCTTGGGTGACACCTTAGTGTCTTTGACTGATAACCAGTGCATTATTTATATTAGAAAAGAAGCTGGAGTATGAAAACAGAGTCCAATTGTGCTTACTCTGAATAAACAGAGAGTGAAAGGGGTTTAAGAGGTGACAGTCTAAGCTGTTCTTGCTTGCTTTTGTGGAATCATAGAATCACAGAATCCTAGACTGGCCTAGGCTGGAAGGGACCTTAGAGATCATCTAGTCCGACCTCCCTGTCATGGGCAGGGACGCCTCTCAGCTAGATCATGGTACTCAAGGCTCCATCCAACTTGGCCTTGAACACCTCCAGGGAGGGGGCAGCCACAACATCTTCAGGCAATTTATTCTAAAGTCTTGCCGCCCTCGTACTGAAGAATTTATTCCTAAGGTCCAATCTAAATCTATTCTCCTTCAACTTAAACCCATTTCCCCTTGTCCTATCAGTGGACTCTCTTGTAAAAAGGCCCTCCCCAGCCTTGCTGTAGGTTCCCTTCAGGTATTGGAAGGCAGCTATTAGGTCCCCCCGAAGTCTTCTCTTTTCCAGACTGAACAGTCTCAGCTCCCACAGCCTGTCCTCAGAGCAGAGGAGGAGAATGTGATGAACCAAAGGCTGAAGTTTAGCCTGTGCTTAGAGTGGAGCTGGTGACCATAGTAGTAACAACACAAAGGGGAATCGAGTTCTACTCGTCTGTAATGGCTTTGTGGTGGCAAGGATAACATGCAGCACGTGTTTGTTGCTCCTCCTCAGGTTGGACAGTTATGACCTGGAGAGCACAGAGGGCAGTGGGTTTGCAGGGTAACGTAGTGCCATTTTGACATTCCTGCAAGCTGTTCTTATTAGCTATTTTTTCAAAATCTGTTCACGTAAGAATAGAACTCCTTCCCGAGGCAGAATATTTCAAGAGACTGATTAACTGCTTCTCATTACATCTGAATTTCTGAATGGCAGGTAAGATTAGATGGTCACAAAGAAAAAGTACTGAATCAGCCCTTGCACTGCTGTTTAGTACAAACACGTAATGCTCTGTCCGATTTGTTTCTGTTAAAGGAGGGGGACTATTCATTAGTGAAAAGAATCAGCATGGCATTGCTTTTACTATGTGTTTAGAAAAAAATGATCCCTTTGATGTAGCTGGAGACCCTTGAACCTCAGAAAAGAATGTACTAGCACGCTAGGATATGCCTTAGTCCTGCAGGTCATTTAATCCTTTCCTCAAGTGAGTCGTTGAAAGGTGAAGTAGATGCTGGGAAAAGTTCTGCACTGCCAATTAAAACAGGCTCCAAAGGTGTTGCTAGTTTCATTCTACTAGAAACTCATCACCGAGAAACCAGTTGCCTGTGTACCTTGAGGCCAGATCCCAAGCTGATATAAACCCATATGGTTCTTTTGACTTAGCAGAGCTCCTTTGCTTTACACCAGTAGCTCAGACTCAACTCCTTTATGCTTATGATTTTTTAATGGATATCTGTTAAAAAATAAGGAATGATTTGGAAAGGTGTCGATTGCTACACCTGTAAGAACTGAACAAATTTCAGAAGCCTGTAAATAACTCTGAGATGTGAGCTCTGACTCAGGCTTTATGGAGAATACATTCTATCTGCCTCAGTTAGCCCTGCAAAACTAAAGCTGGATAATGAATTAGCCTTGACATTTCTCCTAGGCAGACATCATTAATGAGATAAGGTTTAAGACAAATGAGTGTACTAATTACTAACTGTTGCCCTTGTTTGCTAACAAAAAAAAATGCCACTTTCAACAAATGTAACAAAGAACAAATGAAATTAATCAGAAAGCTAGAGCATTGCTTAATTAACAGCTCTAGTCAAAACACTGATCTTCTGTGGAAGAGATAACATCAGGGAGCCTAAAACTCTTGGAAAGTCAAGAAGATGGTTTATTTCCACCCTTTTCAAGTGGAACAGCTGAAGTGCTGAGCAGGGGGCTGCTCGGGGAGCTGCTGAAATGGGAGGGCTGCCAAGTCCCATCCCACAGAAGGCCAGAGAGAGCAGAAACCTGAAGGACCCAACTTTGAATCTCAGCACTGTGGCAGTCGCAAGGCAGGGAAGCGAGCTGAAAGAAGCCTTGGAAACCTGCCTCGTGTCCATTAGAAGAGTTAACACGAATGCTGTGTGCCCACAAACAAGCCTTCTAAACGCACTTTTGAGCGAACTTTCCTCTGGAAGATGTCTAGCAAGCTTGCTTGCCTTTTTTTACGGTGCTTAACTTTTCCTTTTCTGACTTTTAGAACTTTAGATGGGCTTATTTGCATTGGAGGAGTACTGCTGTAACTTTCTTCCTAGCATGTGAAGAGTTTTCTCTGTATGTAGAAACAACATGGCTAAAATATTTGGAGTGGAATCCAGGCTCCATTGAAGTCAGTGGCAAAACTCCCATTCACTTCAGTGGAGCAGGAATTTCGCTCTTTGCTGTTTTGAAGTTAAAATTACTAATAGACTGTTAAATTATTCCTGCGTGCATCAAACAAAATGTGCTTGATGTTAATGTTTCTGCTGTGTTCAAAACCCACAAAGATTTAAAGCAAATAACTATGAACTTCTGAGTCTAAAAATTATGTTAAATGTAGTTTTGCTAGAAATAATTATGTCCCTGGAGATAAACCTAAAATAATAGACTCCACCATATAATCTTCACTTTAAGCTAAAAATAGCATAGATGGTGGTTTAATCTAGGCCATAATTATCAAACTGCTGAAGCCGGTTTTGGTTCATTGCAACTAGAAATGTATGGTGTGTTTAGGTTTTGAACAGTCGAGTCCCAAAAATGGAGAGAAGCAAAGCCAAAAGCATAGTCAGAAAGCAAACAGGAGCCTCTGAGTTGTAGAGAAATAACATGGATTAAAGAGTCCAACGCCATACTTAAAGGGACTGCGCCTGGCTGACTCGGTCCAGCCAGCTGGAGACATACTGAATTCCTTATAATTTGTGTTTTCAGCCCCAAATTTGGGCTGTTATTTTGCTAGAAAAGGGACGTACAAGGCACCTTTTGTCTTAAAAGCCATTTTTCATTTCATGTAGGAATTGAAGGAAGAACGTTAACCTTTAAAAATGTTGTTATTCCGGATGATTGAAAAAAAAAATTGTTTTAATGATCATTTCAAAGTAGGATGGAAACCCCTTAACTGCATGGCCGGCTGAGTGTAAGACTGCAAGTCAGAGCTTCTGACGTTTCAATGATGATGTAGCAAGTGAGGCTGGTCCCATCAGTTATCTCTTCTTTGCCACCATGAAGGTGGTTCACAAAGCCTTACCTCAAGCAGGGGAGCCTCACCTTCCTGTAGCGACAAACGAGATTTATTCTGAGCAGTAAATCACTGCAGCGGCCCAGTGGTAGAGACTCCACTGATGATAGAAGGGTCCTGAGTGAGAAGTTGGATGGAGGTTAAAGTAATACTTTTCTTTTTCCGAATACTTTTTGAAATCCCCCCTGGCTGGGTTTGAATTTCTCTGTGTGTGTTTATACAACACAATGTGCTGTTCATTTAGACAGTTTGTTTTGCTGGGAATGGCATGGGGCAGCCTTGGTGCTTGTTTGGATGGGGCTTGCAGAAATGAGCATTTGACTCTGCCTCCGGCTCCTGTCTGAGCATTGCTGTTATAGAGTCACGGACTCGTTTTGGCTGGAAGGGCCACTGGAGGTCATCCGATCCAACCCACCGAGAGACAGACAGGACAATACCACACATTTAAAGTTTTTCCTAACAGTAAGTTGTTCCAACTTTGCACTGACACAGCCACAAAATTGGCCCATCTCTAGTACTGAATTCATTGACCATTCTCTCAGTATAGTTATAGGGATCATATCCACTAGATTTGGGAAAGCAATCCACAATTTTCAATAAATACTAGCTTTGGTGTTCTAGCAGATATCCTTGGTGCTACATGACTTCTCCAGGTTCACATCTCGCAAACCTCAATATAGGTGCATTTCCTGGTAGGAAAGTCCATGCTTAAAAGTTCCAAATGCACAAATACTAAAACCTTTGTGAAATTAAGGCAATGGATAAGTTAAGGAACTTGTAGTTTATTCGTGAAACAGGTGCCCAGGATGGTGGGTGAATAATTCTGTGCTATATGTGGAGCCTGGTTTTTTAAGACTTGTTAATTCCTGAGAGTGTCATTACTAAGTCCAGAGAAACCCACATCATAACTTGAGAAACCCACGTCATAACTTGATAGGATATTTTTTATCTTGTTTTGTTTTAATCGAACAGCATGGGAATGAGCCATGATGACGATCATCAACCCTGCGCAGGGAGATCTCATATTATGTCTGGAGAATGGGTGAAGGGCAGGAACCCAAGTGACCTTTCCTGGTCTTCATGCAGCCGCGATGACCTTGAAAACTTCCTAAAGTAAGGATTGTGCTGATTATCAAAAATCCTATCAGGCAAGAATCCAGTGTGTTACTTGAAAGTGAAAATCTGAAGAATTTTCCTTAAAAAAAGAAGTGTGTGCATGTGTCATCAAGGTGCCCAAGTTTGTCTCCGTTACAGTAGCCCCTTGAAACTGAGATTTCCAGAGAGGCAGAAGAATTATGTTTAGATGTCTGTGTAGTGATAGCTCCTTAAAAATGGTCCCAGATCACCTTCACTTTACAAAAAATGCCTTTCATGTTTGCAGTGACAGAAATCTGTGTAGGTGGCCTGAAAAAAAATCTGCCGTAGGATGCTGCCAGCTTTATGCTGTGGCTTCTACTGTCATTACTGTTATTAAATAGCTTTTATTTTATGGAAACTTTACTTTGTCTGGAGGTAATTCTGATGTGTTTTCTCACTCCTCAGTGAATCTTGGTCTTAAAGAGTTCGCTATAAATGTCTTTCCCACTTCATTCGTATTTCAGTTCATCATATTCAACAGCTTGGGAAGGATTTCTGTCCTATCCTGCTGCTTGTTAACGCTCATGTACTATAGGAGGCACTGGAATTGTCTGAACTCTGTAACTGTGGTCTTAAACCTACAGTTCCTCTCTGACAAACAGTGTCTGGCACACTGGCAAGTGCTTTTTTTGCTAGAAATGGGTTCAGCATAGAAAATTCCCGACTCTTCAGATTAGAAGTAGGACAGAAATGAAAATAATGAGGGAAAATGGGATATCTACTGAAGTTGTAAAAGAAGTTGCATTTGAATTCCCTTTGGTCCCTGACAGAGGAGGGATGGCAACGTGATACTCCTTTTGTGAAAAATTGTTGTGAAGGCAATGGGAAAAATCTTCCCTTTACGACCATGACAGATAAGAGGAGAAGTCAGGGACTCCAAATTCATCTAGAGAAATTCAAGTTAGACATGATAGAACACTTTCTAGTCTGTCGTATAAGGCTCTTGAAGCTTTGGTCTAGATAGCCTGAGGGTGGAATTGACTCTCCATCAAATTTTTAGGAATAGTTTAGACAAACGTTTAGCCCCGAATCATGCAAATATAGTCATAGAATCCTAGTCAATTCTGTCTTGAGCCCTGGGTCCAGGAAAGAGTTCCTAAGGCCCTTTCTAGCCATAGTTTTCAATGATTTACAAAGCTTCCAGATATAACTGGGGGAAAACACCACTATTTCACACGAGGTAATCAGATTCCCTGTTAAGGGAGGACAACAGCTTCTCTACAGCAGTGATCTAATGCTCTACTTCAAAGGTGCTTTACCTTAAAAGCATGTTTAACTCTTACACCCCACAGGTCCAAGGTCAGCACCTGTTTGCTGGTGACAGACCCCCGAAGTCAGTACGCGGTGCGGCTCCCTCACAAGCTGCCTGGAATGCACTACAGTGCCGATGAACAGTGCCAGATACTTTTTGGGACCAATGCTACATTCTGTAAGAATATGGAGGTAAGAGCTCATGAGGTGTACCTGGAAACAAGGTAGGAAGTGGAGATAGTGCTGTCAAGCACTGGGGAAGAGGTGTGTGTGCTTTCCTCAGAGTGACTTAACAGGATTTTCAGCATGTTCAGCACTGCTGATAAAAATACCAGTAGTCCAGCTCCCACTGACCTTCATGTCAACAGCACATTCTTATGCAATCCTCCTCCTTTTCCCACACTGATCTTATTAATCTCCTAGAGCAGACCCAGAAAAACTTTGTTCCTACTTGGTCTTAATGCAGGGACGGTTCCCTTTTGACACTGTTTTGCTGAAGTACTCAGTAGAGATTGTTTTTCTTGAAGTTCAGCTGAGGTGAAAGTCTCTTCTCACAAGAGTGCTTGCCTGCTTCCACAGAGTCACCTTAGGTGACTGGAGCTTTCAGCAGACCTCACCTTCAGACTGCTACAATGTTCTTAGGAGCTGATTCTAATTCCGTGCCAAGGAATTATTAATGACTGCTTGTTCGATGAGACTGTTTAGAGATTTGGGCAGAATTAGGCTTCTTCCTGTGTGTTTTCTTAGCAACTTAATGTTTAGTCAGATTTGGGTGCAGAATGACTTGAATCATGTGGCTGGTTGGCAAAATGGAAACACATTTTTTGGTATCTCTAGAAGTAGGTCGTGTTTGAGATGAGGCTGTCTGACTCGCACACTGGATTTTAGGCAGCTAAACTTTTTCTAAGGTCTTGCACATAATTAGATGTCTTCATTCTGACCAGAGCTTCTCTGCATCCCACTTTAGATAGGGATTGGAGAAATGCTCTACTTTCAGTGTGGCTTCAGAGATATCCTGAAGAAATTCATGAAGCACTGTGTCCTGTCACCAACATGAGCTGGCAGCCTTCTGCCCTCTGTAGACTGACATGAAGCAGCCAGGTTTCTTGCTGTCATTAACTAGCCATTTGTCTGCTTTAGTTGTCCCTTATTCTCATTTTGAACAATCTTGGGGTCTTAAATCAGTGTTAAGAAAGAAAATAATAACCAGTGATAATTGACCTTTCCAAATGCCAAATTACTAAAATTGTTGAACGCATGAAAGTCCTGGGAACGTGCTCTTAGTTTCACATTGGCTGTTTTATTTATTTTGGATTTGGAACATAGCTAGCGTAAAACAATAAGGAAAGAATCTGGGTAGATTGGATTTTCCAGCTCCATCAAGAAAATGTAGACCACCAGGACTACTGTACTGGAAGCAACGGGTTAGAATATAGGTCTGTAAAGAAAACCCCGGATCTACCCAGGGTGACCCAAGTTCTTCCGCTTGTGTGGGTGTCACCCAGCTTGACTGCTCTTGGAATAGATATTTGCTATTTCCCTTGCTGCAATAAAAAGCGTTCTGTTTCTGGGTAGTCCAGAGCCTAATGAGAATGTCAGCCTACTGGTAGGTGGTCAGCATTTCTCCTGCAGAAACTGAATGTCCAGTCTGGAATTGCTTCAGGGACAAGTTGCTTGCCAGGATAACAAGCCAGCCAGCACTGTTCTTCTCTGTAAGATACAGACAGCAGGTGTCTGTGTCTCCCAAGATTTTTCGACAGTCTTATTGTTTGACATCCTTTGAACACAATGAAAACTGTTCTTTTCCTCCATCAATCCTTTAGCGTCTCCCAAAGAAAAGCAAGTTTTGCGAGGACTTCAGTATTTTTTAATGAAGTGCCTTGCAGAACTTCAGCAGATTAAAACTAATTTGCAATCACTTCAGAAGTCTTTTTCTGCTACAGATATACATTAAGAGTTATTCACACCATGAACCTTTGGATCAGTTATGTCACGCCATTAATTTAAGTACAGATTTGCATCCTGTAACGCTACTCTGAATTGGTCTTTGGAGGCAATGAAAGGACATTCTTTAGAGGAAATCCTCAGCTTTGATTTTTAAACCTTTGAAGTTTGTGTTCTTTTCACCTTTATGTTTCTCATGCCTCATCTGCAGAATGCTTGTATCGTAAGTCTCAAAGCTGTCTACAAAAATATGAACCAAAAAAAAAATTGGCACTAGTCATTGGCATTAGCTGTAGAAATTATTGGCAAATATAGCTGTCTCCTCTTTTAGCCAATGGTAATGTGGTATTTTTAATTCAATAAAGTATTAAAAAAATCCAAATGTAAAAGTAATAAACATTTGACAGTAAATATTTGTTACAAAAAAGAAATAAACTTCAGGAAATGAGCCTGCTCAATCTTTTTATGATTACATATGTCTACTGTCTATTTTCTTATTTAATAAGAGTTACATTATAACCTTTCATTGGAGATCGTTGAGTTGCGTAATTATGTAGGGCAAACTGAAGGGCCTTTATTAAAAAATGCCATGCAATTTGGTTGTAGAGCAAAATGTAGAGATTAGGTGAATCCAAAAGTCTGGCATTTTTGAGAAACTGCAGAAACTTGCTGTGCAGTAAGCTCTTTACCTTAAAGGCATCAAAGCCCAGATTTTTGCAGGAATGTAATCTCTTTGCCTTCATAGAGAGTCAGGTGCCCAAATGCTTGGCAGTGTCTGGACTTCAGACACTGGACCAGCTAGACAGTTAATCCATGAATATTCAACATTACCTGGATATTTCAGCTTGCACCTCCAAAATTCTTCTTCCATGTATGTTTTTACTGATAACTCAAATGCCCTAGTACAAAATAGTAGCTCTCAGAATTACGAGTTTGCCAAACCAGCTGTACTGCAGCTATTCTGCTTCACATTTCCAGGACAAAAATTGAAAAATGTCAGGTCGGCTCAGCTTTACATAGACTATGCTGCTTGATAAACCTATTTCATTTGCTTGGATGCTATGTGTACATTTTAATATACTAATTTTTTTTTAAATGAACTAATTAGCAGTAGAAGTCCCTGATAATCAGCTTAATTATAGCCTATTATTGTAATCTGTGACCTCCAAGACATGTAATTTAGGATCTGGTTCTGTAACATCTGAGTTAGGTAAAAGTTACTAAGGCGTGTCACCTGTTTAAGGAACTATGGAATCAGGCTCTTAGGTTGGATGCTTGTTAGGCAGGGAACAATCGATTTCTCTCTATTTTTAAATCACTTTTCTCTGTATGAATAATAAATGGGAAGATTACCTGCCGGCTCCTTGAGGGGAATGCAAGTTCATTTTGGTGCATGCTCTGCTTACGGTTTTCTTAGTTCGAGATATATCCAGGTGTCTGAGTTTTTTACTAACTTTAACCTGAATGTTAGATGGGTGAGTCCTTATTCATCATCAGGAAAGTAGATGTTTCTCTGACTGTGTGGAAGAATTAATTTTGATCTGAGAAACTAAGAAAATAGAGATTGGGTGGTTACCAAGGGAGATGATTTCCCATACAGTAATGAAGATCTCAAGACCCTTCAGTAGTTTTCCCTTCATATCTGCTGATATGTTTTTTTCTCCAGTGGTGTGCAAAGGGATCAAAAGTACTTACACAGGGTGCTCTCTTTTTATTTTTCCCATTGGGAACATCAGGCTTTGTCCTGTTGATGGGAGTGCTTCTCTAGCAGGACGTACAAATGTGCTTCTGCCACACCAGGCGTGCTGCCGGTGTTCAGTCATGCCACTCTCGGTGCTAGAAGAGCTTTTGGCCCACCTAAGATTTTTCATGGTGCTCTTTATTTTGTGGGAGGGAAGTTGCCTTTAGCAGAAATTAAATAGCTGAGCATGCCCTTCTTAAGCTTGGAGCAAAATCACCATATGAGTTGCAAAAAAAGCTAAACAGGAACATGCCTTTGAGGCTGCGTGGTGCGTTGTCGGCGTACCCCAAACAGGTACTTTTTGCAATTCTGGTTGCTAAGTGTTGATGTCCAGGGCTTGCATGCCGGGTTGTGCAAAGTGCAGGAAATTCCACCTGTCTGACCTCTGCTCTTCAGATCTGCCCTGCGTTATGAAGCAAGTGTTGTGAATTCATTTGATCCCCACTCGGGAGGAAGCAAAAAGCTTCAACCTCACTGGAGCAATGAAGGCTTCTGCAGAGAACAGGCATTAACTCTTTGCTGTCTCTTTAGCAGCGCAGTTGGTGAGAGGAATAGCACAGATGGTTTACGCCGAATCTCTCACAGAGCAGAGAGGGTGTTTCTCCACCTGAAATGTGTAAAAAAGCATTGTTCATAAACTCACATGGAAATGCACCATGTGTTTAATCGGGGCGCTGGGTTTGTTTTTCAGACTGGCATGCCTACGAACAGAGGCTTTTGCACTGAAATTGTATTTATGGAAAAAATGTGATTTCTCTCTCTTGTATCCAGTGTTTGGCTTCTTGGTTTATGTGCCTTTTGGCTCGTTTATTACTAACACGCTTTTGCGGGTTTTTACATAACCGTTATCTTTTGGTATTGTTTTGTGTCAAAATAGTGCTTAGGCTAAAATGGCCTGTGGAAAGAGATTAACAGTGCTCCAAAGAGATTTTTTTTTCTCTGAAAAATGGACACTGTCAACTCGAATGTAACTGGGAATATGCATTTTGACATGACACTGGATTTAGAAAAGTTAGAACATCTAGAATTGGCTCTACCGTTTTTTCTTAAGTTCAAATTGATTTTTTTAACAACTCCAGGTGTCTCCCAGTATCTACAAGCTGTGGAGCAGCAGCCCAGGACAAGTGGGCAAAGGAGGCTGACTAGATGTCTGAGTTAAAATGGAAAAGGAGGGGAGCCTAAAAACAAAGTAAAGGAAGAGCAACAATTATAATAATAAGGTGGATTTTACATATCCCTCCAGTTTTCACGTTTGATGGTGTGGTGGTGAATATAAGGGAGCAGCTGGGTGCCTCTCTGTGGTCTTGATCTTGCAAGAAGACTAGTAGAGTGGACTCTTGGACTCTGTGCACAGGAATCAATGAGCCTCTGTTTTTTTTCTTCAAAGGGTAATTTGCCAGATCCAGACATTTTTAGTAAGCCCTATTATTTAGTAATGTATACTTAGAAGAACATAGAAATTAGACTGAGAGATGATTTATCCTGAAAATAATAGGTTACACTGTCG